ACACACACACACACACACACACACACACACACATGCACATACTGTACACACTCACAAACACAGACCACAATGATTATCTCAGACCTGGGTCACATTTCTATATTTTCCATGGTGTCGAGAGTGCAAGAATGTGGTATGAAACCCAGAGGAGTTTGTTAGAAACAATGGGTTTCCAGTTCTGGAATCAAACTCAGCCTGATGCTGATTGGTTGTTCGGAGGGTCAGCTGACATAACTGCATAAAGACAACCTGCGGTGAGGACCTGGAGGTGAAGTAGCTGCTAAAACAAAGTCAAGGCAGCCTCCAAACACAGACGTGATTCAATAACGTAATTGGATTCCTCAGTATCACAGAGTCACGGCTTATGTGTCCTCATGAGGCAGCAGAACAAGCAGTGGTGCGGTAGCCAGGACGAAGATTAGCATCAGCGTTTGGGGTAAAAATGAGGCCAGGATGAGTTGAGAGTGAATCCAAGTTAGATTAATGTCAACATCTACTTTTAATCACCTGACAGCTTCATGATTCTCAGTCGAGTGTTTTTACTTCAGCTTTGCATAATGCCAGGTTTCACATCGTCCCAGAGGAAGAAAAGTGAAGTTACAGGCGGAACATAAAACCCCAAGAACATTTCACCTGACGAAGTTTACACGTCTATCCTCTGACTCAGGATAATCATCGAGGCAACATCAACAGTTTGGTCACGCTGGGATTTATAAAACAAGTAACAGGAAGAAACCTAATGTGCTGATTCTGATAATCAAAACATCCTTTAATCCAAATTCACCGTTATCTACACTTTCGTGCTCCGATTCCAGATTGGATCAACTGGAGGGACTCGATGTCTGTGATTGGTTCTGCTGCCGTTACTCACCTGCTCCAAACCTGAAATCACCAATCGGGACGATCTACTACCACAGAGACGTAAAGACTGTGCTGGGCCGCAAGTCCTCCGGCAGCAGTCGCAGGTTCCCGTTCTGACCTGGCCCCATTCTACACTGTCCTCATAATGAAGGCAAAGTATATATATTCAGAGACAGAGTGAAAAATCCAGTTTGAATATTCATTCAGTGTTTGGGCCTAAGGGCGGGGGTTATATTAAGGTTTGTGTAGGTTTGCACAAGTTGTAAAGACTGAAAGTTAAACTCACATATCAAACTTCAACCTCTTGTCATTCCTCCTGATTTGTTGATGCTAAAGTCCTCAAACCTCTTATTCCACTAATGGATGAACCAGCTTGTTGCCAGTTCTGTCATCGCTCACATCAGTACGACTATCTGAGCTCCCGAATCACAACCCAGCAACGAGTTAGACCTTAGAGCAGATAATTACAGGTTAAACTCCAGAGTAACCTCATGTAAAGTGACTGGTTTTGTAATGAAAGTGATGAATGGTCGCAGTCTGCAGAGTGAGTGGGAGCGTGCAGTGAATGGCTTACATAAATTTGTATTCATTCGTGCACCGACACAACCTGCCCCAGTTTCTGTGCGTAGGTGAGACGTAGCTACCGGCGATGTTTCTGTGTGCGAGTGTGTGCGAGCGTAGGAAGCGAGTGTGTATGGGAGGGGGCCGGCAGAGGGCATGACGAGACACCCAAGTTGTAGGTAGGTCAAAACAAGCAGCGTTCAGAGGTAAATATAGTGAAGCACACAAACGCTTGAATACTCGCACAGAGGGACGTATGAGGACGTTTTAAATAACCTGAGTTACTTAACGTACAGGAGCAGAGATCAGTTTATTTTTTGTTGCGTGTGTGTCACTATCATGTGTCTGCAGTTATCTAATCACAAGAAGACGACGTTACACAAGTTGGGATTGCATTAAAAACAACCCGAGGAGGCACCGGATTCACATTCGTGGGTTTACTGAGACGCAGATCGGTGACATTGATGCAAAACCTACAGGAATTCAAACTAATTAAAAAATAGCCCAAAGATTATATATATATATATTATAATTAAGAATTCAGTGCGATGGTCATAGACTTGTTCTAGGATCCGTTTTGTGTGGTTTACTGTGGCGGCCGTTCCAAAGCACCTGTCCTGAGACACATTCATACAGTGTCTCAGTGTCTCAGTGTCCCAGATGTTTACAGATGTTCAACAGTGATGATACCGTTTAATCTCCGAGAACATTTACACAGGTATGTACCAGTACACATGTACCCAGACCCTGGAGGTATGAAAACTGTGTGGGCATTAATGATGCACTCAGAAGGCTGTGAGAGAGAGAGAGAGTGTGTGTGTGTGTGTGTGTGTGTGTGTGTGTGTGTGTGTGTGTGTGTGTGTGTGTGTGTGTGTGTGTGTGTGTGTGTGTGGTGCTGTATGAAGTGTGTAGGAGGCTGTTGAATCCTGAGGGCGGTCGATCTCTCTCTCCCTCTTCATTTCATCCAGCTTCACTGGGATGACGTTTGGGAATAATGTTGCCAAACGATGAGATAATAGATCAATATTTGTGCAAATCCCCTGTTCTCTCATTATTAGCATGTGTGTGTGTGTGTGTGTGTGTGTGTCTGTGTGTGAGTGTGTGTGTTCCACAACAGGATTGTGATGCATTCATTTAACACACACACGACAATAATCCCTCTCTCCTACAGTGTCTTGTTCAGATATGCACTGGATAAGCCTCTCATTTGCTTTCAGTGAAAGACCCAGACGAGGGCAGAGCTGGATTCTGGTACGACAGTGTGTGTGTGTGTGTGTGTGTGTGTGTGTGTGTGTGTGTGTGTGTGTGGTTGCTAGTTATTCTTAAATTGCCGTGCCGGGGTGCCACATACCAATGGGAATGGTTGGAATTCCTGCGACACAAAAACAGAGGGAACATATCTTTGTGTGTGTGTGTGTGTGTGTGTGTGTTTCGTGTTTGTCGTGTTTCTCTTTAACAAATGCAGCATTTTCTACTTATGAATAAAACCACGAGCAGAACACAGAACAACTGTGTTTGGGTGAGATGATATTTTCTAGGATACAGACCACAACAGGAAACGAGAACATGAGAACACGAGAAAACAAAAGATGACAAAGGAAAGAAAGAACTAACAAAGTAAAGGAAATAACAACACATATGAGGAAGTGAGTGTACCCTAAAGGAGAGAAGGAGCAATGTGGAGGAGTGTTATCGAGGAAATATTGAGGATTTATTATGGTAAAGGTGTGTCAAGGTGTTGTTTAAACATTCTAAACACATGTTAATTACAGCGTCCACACAGATAGGATCAGGTTTTACCACCATCTTCATTACTCTCACTCACTCACACACACACACACACACACACACACACACACACACACA